TGACCATTTTCCTTTATTATTAATGTATTTCTCAGCTAAGTGTTTTTCTGTACTGATCATACATGTTTACATATACTCTGTCGAAATAATTATCTATCTATATATCTTTTACGAAACCTTACAGGAATTTATCACCTTAGCATATTTTCATTTTTGGATAAACAGCCTTAAGTACGGCCTTTGGCTGAGAGGGATAATTGTAGTTAGTATCTAAATTTAAGAAAGCTGTACACGAACTTTTTGATAAATCAATCCCCCACTCGGGTTATTGTTTCCACTCTTCCAAGATTTTCATGTGCAGCACCTAAACTGAGGTATGAGGCTGAAACTTATTCTCTACTTTGGAACCATGAAAATCATAAATTTTTAAGAGATCAAATTACTCTTTTCAACACACTTGTTTCTCACCAAAATAAAATTACTGTCTCTACGTACAATTCGCATTTGACCTAGTCCTAGTCATTTCCTGACGGCTTATCTAACCTAACTTAACCTAACTTATCCTAAGTTGGTTAGCAAAACACGCATTAAGAGACAGTTTTTTGTTCTGATGAGGGAAGATTATTTTCAATAAATTAATTTTATGCCAGAAGTTCTAAATTTTAATTATCATATCAAATGACTCCATAAAAATTCTGCATGGGCTTGTAGGCTAAAGGGTGTAGTGGAAAAATTCAGCCGGTACCAAACATCTTTTTTAAGTTTTTTTTCAAACAAATACAAAATAATCAATAAGACAATTTATTTTTACTACGAATTTTTTGCATTCCAGGTGCCAGTGGTGGCAAATGTTTACAAAGCACTAGACAATTACTACAAAAAGAAAGGAGGTGTGGTGCATGGAGAGTCTGGAGCCGATCGAAAAGTTAATGGTATCAAGGAATCTCATAAGAAGGTTGTTGCCGAAGTTTCAAGCACAATTATTCCGAAATTGGATGTTGCCTCAGAGATGAAGATTTTGATGCAGAGGGCAGCCAAAGAGGTAAATAAATTGATTGAAACACTAGAGTTATTTTAGCTTTTCACATTTTTCACAACAGGCACTTTTAATTTTCAGAACTACCCATTAGAAGATCTAGCAAATATTGTAGTCAGTTCATTGGACAAACAAAAAGTGATATCGTTGGTAAAGGGACATCAGTCTTCAATATGTGTAACAGACTTTCTGGAAGAATCTGATCATAATTCAGTCTTGAAGCATATATCCGATCGAACAACCATATCCGATGTTCTAAATAGGATCTGTGACAGTCGTTCTACAGATGAAGCTGAAGAGTTTTTGGATGGGATTGCAAATTATGCCTCATCAACAGTACCTTTGGAGAAATTGTTAAGAGGACAAAATGTGGAAAAACTTATTGAAGTAGGAATCCAACAGAAGAATTCCACTGAGGAAGAAGTTATTACAAAATGTCTTTTACCTCTCATCAAAAACCCTAGTGATATTTCCCCCTACTTGAAATCATTGTCGATGGCTGATTTTGCCGATATTGTTACCAATAGGTTGGATACAGAAAATCTTGGAGAATTTTTGAGTAGGATAAAAGAATCATATCCAGAAACTTTTTCCAAAGCTGTTTGTGATAATTGTCTAGTTTCGCCGGGAGACATCACTACTTCTTTCAAAAGTGCTCTAGAATTGTTTACTGGTGACCAGAAAATCCAAATGATAGACATGTTCAGGTTGATTAGTGAGAACTTAGATGTAAGCACTTTACTGAATCTGCACGTGGAGTTCCTGAAAAGGATACCCACTGCATTAGAGGGTCAAGAAAAATAAGTTTTTGTATCGATTTTTTATATATTCTTTATATTTTTAATTCTCAAAGACTGCATTTGTATTTTGTATATATATGATCATTATATCAGTAGAGTATTTAAAGTATAGGTGTCAACATAAACATAANTCTTTTTTTGCATAGGAAATTGATGAAACTATCTGTATTATCTGTACATCACAACTTTCAATCGTTTTTAGATATGTCAAAGATGGTTATGTGGTAGAACGTTTTATGGGTTTTCATGATGTTTCATCTGGCCGCACAGCTAACGATTTGTTTAATTTTTTAATTCGTACGTGTGGCACCTATAACTTTAGGCAAAAGTTAATTGCGCAAACTTATGATGGGGCTGCGGTCATGGCTGGCCATTTAAATGGTTTACAAACTAAAATAAAGTCCAGAGCTCCTCATGCTTTTTTTACGCATTGCCATGCCCATGCCCTGACTTTAATCAAAGCGTGCAACAACATAAAGATTTTCTCGCCTCCGGCTGGCTTTTCTGTGTGTATAATATAGTCTTTATGACTTTAACCTCCCCTGTTCTCCAATGCACGAGCCGTCACTGGTGAGAAATGCCTGATAAAGTGACTCTGACAGTGAAATATTACAATTTTCAACATTCTTATTTATGGGTTTGCCTCATTTCCAACTTGAAAGTTGCTTTGGTTGAGCCCCGATACAATCAGGAGGGGCGCCTGCATCATTTGGTCTTATAATCATGTACTCTGATCAATCTCAATATGCCGAAAATGACAACCTGTATTTGTCCTTCCAAGATTTCTGACTTGATGCCATTCCAATAATCAGATCAACCATCTGAACGGAGTGTCCTGGATAGAGTCTGCGGAGTTTGAAGAGAAAATCTCAATATTTCATCTGATTTACCTCCTTTGTTTGGATGATATTCGTGTCAACTAATATTATCATTAATTATATCCACTATTTCTAATATTGGGGCTGAATATAAATAAATTCCGTTAGATGAAACAAATAATATTTTATAAGGAATACCTGTATATTGATCAATAACACACACAAATTTAAATCTGTAGTTAGGTATAAAGTGCGTAAATTATGTTTGTTGTCTATATTTCAATAATTTTCTTTTAACAATATTAAGTGAAAAGCTATAAATATTACTAGATACGATAATCTGCGATTTCACAGCCATTTTGGGATTGATAACATTGAATTTATTGGTAAATACCTATCGCCTTTCAGAATAATTCTTATTCCTTCGTTTTGCAACGACAAATTTTATTTAAATTCTTCGAATACAAAATTGAAGCACCTACTGTGCTTCAATTCTGGAAATAGAAATCCCAGATCTCTTTCATTATTCTGATGCCTTTCAGTGTTGCAGAGATGTTGACTATGATAAGGAAAACTTGAGAATAAACTGATAACAGATCCAGAGGAAATTCATACCAGCATTGGGAGAGAGTTTGGAAACTATCACTAGGCCCATGCTGTAGAGTGTAGAGGCTCCCGTACAGCACATGGAAAATCGTAATGAATCTTTTTACTATGAAAGATCATTCTCAGCAGCTGATATTTCACATTTCAAAATCCCAATATAAGCCGAAAATTGGACTCTGAAACCTACCCAAACAAAGCTTAAGATATTTTCCATGAAACAAATCATATTGACAAGGCATTCCTTATCATACATTTCAGAGAATGTAGGAACATGGTGAACCCTATGACGTCTGAATCTTATGATTTGAAGAGTCTAGTATTTTTCTACAAGTGTGGACATGAATTATATGGACCTCTGTCCTCAGATAACCAAGATATATAGGAATGAACTAAAGAATGAACAAGATACGGTGTATGGATCCAAAGAAAACAGTGCCAAAGAACAAGTCGAAAAGCATGTGGTGGATGGTGAACCAAATCAATAAAAATAGAGGACCTGTTGAAATTACTATATGTGTGAACCCAAAGTAACAGACAAACATTTCAATAGGCATTTTTGGCAAGTCATGCAACAGGGAGAAACGGACTCAACTTTTATGGAAAATAATATTTCATTCAGCCCAAACTCAATTTTTATGTATTCATTAATAGACGTGGTTTTTTGCACTAGTTCACTCGCTAAAAAATTGTAATGCAAAAGGACATGATAGCATCTGGAATAATTTATGAAAAAAATGGACACATGAATTAAGCTCTTCTACAGTATCCCATTAATGTATATGGAGCATGAAATTTGGCCAGATGAATTGAAAAATGCACTGGTTTTGCCCATTTTGGGAAGGAAAGTCTGAATTCCTTTGAAAATTAGAAGAATCAGTATTTTTTAGCATATCTAGCATTTTCAACAGAAATTATTGTAAGCCAGCATGGTATTACACAAAGCAGAACACGGAGACGGCTCTATATGATATTAGTAAGCATGAAGGGTATAATTAGCTTGCTTGATTATGTGAAAGTATTTTTACATACGAAAACTGGAATATTATGGAGAAACCGATTGCAGAACTGAATTTTGCATTTAGTGGTCTCTCTTTGTTTGCATTTAGAGTCGTCCCTTGTATTATATTATCATGCAAATTTATTTTTCATTCATTTTAGCAAAAGAAAATTTGTTCACATTCGTTCGTGGAATAA